GTGAAACTTTGTGTGCTATTTCCAGTGATCACAACTGACATATTCATGTTAGGAAAGAGTGCAAGAATTTTCCGCGCAAGATTCCTTTAATTTCTGTTCTGCATGTGACATAGGGTGAGAAAGCAAGAGGTATGCCCTTTTTAGTCAGATGATCACCTGAGCTGCAGGGAAAGGGAAGCCCTGATAAATCACTACAGCATTAAGCATTTCTGCAAAACCAAAACTGGTGTCCCTCTGAATACATACTCAGAGCGTATGACCCAGTCCCAAGCGTAAAATAGAAAAAATAGGTGTACTTCGAAAAGTAGGTCTATTTCAGAATTGGACCTGGGTCTTACGCCCTGGGTTCGTGTTTAGATCGAAGAGGTGCCTGTAATGACTAATGCAGCTTTTACACTACATTGAAATTTCAGAGAAATGTGTCATTTTCATAATATCGCCAAGATCGACGTCTTAATCATCCTTTTCTGAGAAATTCGCGACATATTAAAGAAGAATATGAAGAAATTGTTTCGTTTATGACTCAATTCGCTCCATATAAAAGCTGGGCATGCAGATGCCCAATCGGTCATTCCAATAAAGATATAAACCGTGATCGTTCCGCAACAACAATCAGACTCGGAGTATTTCATCAATCCAGCTCTTCGATGAAACACTCATCATCGTTCCGGAGCTTCATATTCAATCCGCCGACATCTTATCCCACGACGATTTCTACTGCTTCGATATACAGGGCAACCAAACAACCACGCCACATCCTTCGTCAACGACAGAGAACACCAGAATACTGCAGGACGCCATCAGTGCAGAGCCCTCGACCAAGCGAACAGCTTTTGTGCTCATCCAACTCCCTGCAACGATCTATCGTCACGAAAATAACTCCATCGTAATCAAGGCATGGGGAACCACAACTCGCACCTATTATCCAGCCTCTCGAACAGTCACCAATCTGAAATGACTACGTCATACACTATACCGAAATGCACCACCGGCGGAGTCACCCTCGAAACAACGGAGACATTCCAAATGGTTGAAGCATGCACGTCCTTCACTTGCATATATAAATATATATATCAACTACTTGCCTGACACCAAGATCCTACTCCCCACGTCTGTAACCCTATTCCAACATACGGTGAAGCTTGCTGCCTGGAAAGACGGGGAACAGATCTTCGTAAACGATCTTACCTGTGAAGGAAAACCCATTTGCGACCTAATCGAATGCTTCTTCTGCTGGGAAAACGTCTTCAATCTCCACTGTTGGACCACAACCGAAATCGTCATCAGCAAACAAGTCTCATTCCTGTCCCCCTAATCGCCTGGCCGGCACTCATTTCTCGCTAGCACTAAAGATGCTGTCAATGGTGGTTGTTGAAGAAACTCTCGGCTGCTACAAACGCCACCCGGGGAAAATCAATCCATGTCGAACACGGCATGACAAAATACGTCATTCCGCACTTCCCGTCATACAAGCGGACAGTATCTCAACGGCTGATCAGGAAAACTCCCATCATGACACTTGTACTCCACCTCGTCTGCCCTAGCAACGCCTGCTCGGATGTCGTCAGCATCAGCGGCACAGTCCAACATTGCAAAGTCAACTCGACAAACGAACAATGTGAATGATGAAGCAGTAACTCTACAAATGCAGCACGTCGGACAAGATGTATGTTTGCTACTGCGCAACTACAAAAACGAACCCGCAGGAGTCATCTCATTACGAATCCACGACATCGCCTACTCTTGTCAAGAACGGACGGAATATTACACCAGAGATCACAAAATTTTACACCGAATCCCACCATCAATGCTGGAACACTCAAAGCTGCACCGGAGAGACCTGCAGAGGCATCACTACCTCGACCAACATATACGAGTTTAGCCACTACGCGAAGAACAATCCTGGCTACACCTACTGCTCACCCTCTTGCAAATGCTTATGGTGTGATTTTTGTTTTTGGTGTAAGGAGACATGCCTCTTTTACAAGGTATTAACGCATGGCCGAAATCCAAAAAACAATCTGATCGCCAACCTTCACGTGCCCCCGTTTGGTCAATCACAATCACAGGAACGATCACTTTGAGAACCTCAACGAAAGACGAAGAACACAACTTTATCCTGAATCCAGCTCGACCACACGTCTGGAACTCTATCGAGCTTACCCTAACGGCAACCAACAACAGTACCTAACCTTCCTATACTTGACAGCTACCTTCCTCACTATGGCTCAACGCGTAAGCAAAGGGTGAACCGTCGGCCAGCCTGGAATACGCAATACCTAATTCAGTCGGACATACTCCATGCACATAGCTGAAGAAACAGGGAATAAATTTTCATCATGTCAAAGTTCTTCCGCCGAAAAGCTACGTGTCAGTGCAATCCACTTTGTCTATGAAGGCGACATGCAATTGCCCCGCAGGAAACATAAGCAAGCACTTGAACAACGCTCACCAACAACTACCACTCAGCGGAAAAGACGTAGTCATCCTTCAACGCGGAAACAGCATCCAAGCCAAAACACACAAGCGGATCCAGTACATCCCATCCAAATCTCCATACATGGTCTATCCATCTTCACGAAACGCGTCAAAAACGAATGCCGCGTCGACATGGGATCTTTAACTGGATGCTACTCCTGCTTCCAAGGAGCACACGTTCAAGTATCTTGCACATCAACGCTATCCGAGGAAACGGCTGAGATACACTGCAAGAATCAAACCCAAATAGTCAAATGTTCACCTCACGGAATCATCTCCGACACAGTATTCCACTTCGCGACTTCGTCACTAGACATCAATTGTTCAGTACTGTGCCCGGCCGGACAATCGACAATTCATCTCCAAGGAACGCTTGACTATGTCAATGAACCTGTGTTTCAGTTTTCATCACTGCAGCATTTGGAAACCTACCGAGCAACATCTACAGGTTTCTCTTGGAAAGATTTCACCACACCAAACTCGAATGGGTTACTTCATTTACAAGCATATTTAAATACTGGAAAACTATAGTCATTACCTTTATCATACTATGTGTAATTTTCCAGATTCTTCGAATATTCCGCAAACGCTCATTTCAAGCCACCTTAATCAAAAAGTCACGCTAATTTCTTTTCCGGGTTGGGAGAGTCTCCGAGCATACTTCGACGCCAACAGCCGTGTGTGGAGATCTCGCGGAAGAACTGACAATTCATCTCTCTCCTTCGACGCGAATAATCCGATAATCCTACCGCGACGTACCTGGATCACTGAACTTTACATTCTTTATCACATATGGAACATCACCATATTGGAACTTCACAAACGCTCACAGTGCTACGACAGCGAATCTGGATACCGCAAGGCCGAGTTGAGGTACGAAGAGTAATTAAGAAGTTCTGTTTCTACTGTAGAAAAGAGAAGGCTAAACCCTTTCGCCTAACGCCTTTTCCCGATCATCCAGTTGAAAGAGTGCAACGCCCTCCCTATCCATTCTTCAATAGTGCCGTGGATTATCTAGGACCATTCGCTTTGAAAATTTCTAATGAGACCACGAAAATCTGGATAGCCTTGTTCACCTGTCTCAACACCAGAGCCATATATGTGGACATAGCGAATTCTCTCAGTGCCGCATGTTTCCTACACATTCTGCGTCGTTTCATCGCCACTAATGGGACTCCCAAATACTTAATGTCGGACAACGCACCAGCATTCATGGCAGTTTCCGATGCCATGTCCTCGACAACTCGCACCCAATGCCAAGACATCACTGACTACTGCTCCGCTCACGAAATACGCTTCAAATTCATCGCGGCACTGGCACCCTGGCAAGGAGGCGTTTATGAGAGAATGATTGGAATCTTCAAAACTTCGTTCAAAGCAGCAATTCGAAATCGAATACTCGACTACGACGAATTCGCCACGCTCATGAAGGAATGTGAAGCCATCGTCAATAGTAGACCAATCACCTATGTCTACAGTGACATCGACTCCGGATACCCACTCCGACCAATTGATTTTTTGCGCCCCCTCTCAATAGTGGGCTCACCTCGTCTTGTTGCAGAAACTGACGACGATGACGAATGGAAACCCGACAAAACGCCGAAAGACTTCCTTCACAAGCAATGGAATGCAACACTAACGCTGCTGGAATCGTTTTTGGCAAAGATGGAATGAAGAATATCTGACAAATCTACGCGAAAGATTCCAGCATGAACATCAACAACCTTTCCACACGTCACAAGAATCTCCATTCGATGACCAGATAGTACTTATACACGATGACATACGACCGCGAGGCCAGTGGAAACTAGGAAGAATAATGAGCCACTCCGATACATCAGCCATCGTCAAACTTCCCAGCGGTCACACCATCAGCCGACCTCTGAGTCTGCTATACCCACTGGAAATCCCACCTACAAAACAATCGAGTTCCGATAGCTCAACGAGTAAATCAGAAAACGAATCCAACAAGGAACATCGACGACGAATCACAACAAGATCACATCCAATGATGACACGCAGCCTAGCTCGACAACTCTCCACCTCATTCGCCATCCTGCTTATATGCTTCACGGTACCAACGAGCTCAAACTTCTATGTTGTCCCCGATACGAAATGCACAGAATCACACTCATCGAGACAAATAATTCATGCCGATCAGTGCTCCTCCAATGGAATCGCCATCGCCATAACAACCACGCTCTCAAACAGGAGAACAATGTGTTGGTTCTCTATTACGTGCCCACTTGGTCATATCCGGATTCCACGACCTCTTCAACCCAACTCCAGATTTTGTGACGATAAATGCAGCTGTCCCGACTGGACAACAACATGCAGTCACTACGATGGGATACTGAAAGCGACATCAAGATACTCGTCCATTCCAATTCCAATCGCCACCTTCCTACCACTTCACGTTTGCTCCTTTAAACCATCTACACTTTGTTCATCAGTGCAGAGCCCTCGACCAAGCGAACAGCTTTTGTGCTCATCCAACTCCTGCAACAATCTATCGTCACAAAAATAACTCCATCGTAATCAAGGCATGGGGAACCACAACTCGCACCTATTATCCAGCTCTACAACAAAAAACAAAAATCACACCATAAGCATTTGCAAGAGGGTGAGCAGTAGGTGTAGCCAGGATTGTTCTTCGCGTAGTGGCTAAACTCGTATATGTTGGTCGAGGTAGTGATGCCTCTGCAGGTCTCTCCGGTGCAGCTTTGAGTGTTCCAGCATTGATGGTGGGATTCGGTGTAAAATTTGTGATCTCTGGTGACTTCCGTCCGTTCTTGACAAGAGTAGGCGATGTCGTGGATTCGTAATGAGATGACTCCTGCGGGTTCGTTTTTGTAGTTGCGCAGTAGCAAACATACATCTTGTCCGACGTGCTGCATTTGTAGAGTTACTGCTTCATCA